AGAATAATACACCATATATTGATGTTTGTGTTGAGTGTGGTGTGATCACACACATTTGTAGAGGTTTGAACATGCACCCCTAAATCATATTCAGTGTTGTAAACCAATTACCTTAATGAACATAATTAAAAATAACTCTGAGGACGAACCAGGCACAGACTATCTTCCAGGAGGACCGTGGTCACAGGACTTGGCTAGAATGGATGGGCCATGGGGGCTTAAGGTTGGACTGTGAGAGGAATTAAACAGGAAGGAGGTGTGATCAATTCTTCTTGTGAAGTATGGCACATCATTAAGATATTTAAGTGTTCCTTCGTATCCAATAAAATAAAAGTTATATCATAATGTTCTTGATTAGGGACAGAACTCATCAAAGAGTAAACTTAAGATTTACATATTACTCATAATATGAATTTTGGGCCTCCCTGATGGCACAGGGGTTAAAGTCTAAGTGCTATCAAGGTATTGCCAGCCACTGCAGCATGAGATGGATCCCAGGCCAGGGAGCTAATGCATATGGCACAGCAGACCTCTTGTCTCTCCCGCTGCTCCCCTCAGCAGTGTATTTCAGTAGATCCGTCTGTTCTGCTCCCCACTCTGTCTCTAGTGAATCCGCTCACACCCCACACCTCTGGCCTGCACCCCAGTTCTTCTATGCAGAAATAAATAAAATAAATCTTTAAATATAAATTTTATCACAAAAATGAATTTTAAACTATTTGAATTCTAGTTATTTAGTTGAATGATGAAGTGTTGAGAAATGAAATTTACTCACATCTGCAACTGACTTTTTTTTTTTTTTTTTTTTTTTTAAAGATTTATTTATTTATTTATTTTCTTATACAAGCACTGGGTACAGTCAGAAGCGCAGGAGAGGTGTGCGCGCCATGTGGGACCCTCCTCCGGTGGCCGGGGAGCAGCCGGGGATTGAACCCGCACTGCAGAGGCTGCGGGCAGCTTCGCAATCCAGCGCTCAACTGCTGTGCCACCGGGGAGGCCCTGCAACTGACTTTTAATATCATCAGAAAAATACAATGGATGGGAGACGTGGGACCTGGGTTAGTCTATGTCTCAACATTCTGTGTCTTTGGCTTGATTATTCTGTGCCTTTCACTCAGAATATGAACAGGAAATTTTGAGAGAAAGAAGCTCTCAAGGCAAAAGTCCTGGTATAAAGATCTATAGATGCTGCAAAGAGTGTGTGCAGACACAGCAGTAGATGTTATGGTGAGACCAGCAAAAACACTGAGGCTTCCCTTGACTCTCCCTGATTTCCCAGCCCAGGCTGGAGGCAGCTGGTTATGTGTCCGCCACACACTTGTGTGTTCCCTATTTGCCTACTGCTGCTTTGATCTTTTATATATTTTCCGTTTGATCCAAAGTAAAAATGAGACTGCCCTTGGAGCTGGGCTGCACCTTCCTGGTGGGTCCCTCTCGGTTTCTCATTGTTCTGCACAGGGACTCTGGGTACTTATTCTTCCCATGTCACACATCGTAAGGCAACAGAGACGGACTGGCAGGCAGACGTGTGTTAAAGCAAATGTGGGAAAATGCTAATGCTGGGATCTAGGTGGTGTGCTCTACACTATTATTTCAATTTTTCTATGTGCTTGAAAATGTTCATAAAATACCACAGACTGAGCGATGAATGCTGCCACACTCTGGGGGCAGCCGTGGCCTCCATCCTGTCCTTCAAAGCCTCCAAGTGCACTCATTGTTCTGAATAGTGAGGTGGATAACTGAGCCCCATTCAGCTGTTCCCTCACTAGCTCAGTTCCTCTTGTGCTCATTACTAATCCCCCTCAAACTACCCCCCGGGGTCAGAATCTCCACGGACATATCACACACACCAGCTCTCCTGCCCGCTTCATCCTGTGCAGACGCTGTCCCACAGCCTCAGTCCTGCCTCCCAGGCCTGGGCCTGATCATAGACTCATTCTTGTAGGTCTTCTCTCTGCTTGTCAAGTCTCTTCCATTTGTATACTTAGTGGGAGTGAGACTTTAATATTCCAGTTTGTCTGCTGAATTATTATGATCAAATTTATAATTTCAAAAGCTCTCTCATTCTGAGTATATACAGTTTTATAAAATCTTTTTTTCTTATACTAATTTAGTTTATATTTTTTGCATCTTTTGATATTATTGAAAATAGTTGTAGGGACTTGTTAAGACTCTTGCTTCTCTGATTTTATAAGGTACAAACTTTTTCTTCCCAGCATATGGCTCAGGTTGGATTTACATGTGTCTTTGTCACCTTTACTCAGTGTCCATCTCTCCTGACAGTGCAAGCTCCACGTCTCCAGGGTCCTCTCTCTGCTCTCCATTGTATCTGCAGGGGAGGCAGCTTGGGAAGGCAGGAGCCAGCCAGGGAGAGGGATGCTGGGAAGTGAAGAGGAGGCAAAGGCAGAAAACACTCTGGAGTTGCTCCCTGGTTCACTGAGAAAATCATTTCTCAAAGTGTGGTCTGTGGAGCCCTTGACATCACTCAGAACCTTTCACGGATGCAGGAGGTCAAACCTATTTTCAAAACATCACTTAGACACCATTGTCCTTTTCACTATTTTGACATTTGCTGAGGTAAAACTTAGTAAGAATGTAGGTTATAGCATCAACTACAGTAACAGTTATTCTTCAGCGGCACTTATCTGCAGAAATAAAAATTCAAGCCACTTTCTCGAGAATGTCCTGGATAAAGCATTAAAAATTATCTTTGCTATTGTATCATCCTCAAATGTACATTAAAAAAAATCTGATGTAAAACATGGAAGTACACATAGAGCACTTCTGCTGCTTTCCAAAACACTGTGTCCCAAGGGAAATACTGTTGTTGTTTTTTTAAAGATTTATTTATTTCTGCATACAAGAACTGGGGTACAGGCCAGAGGTGTGGGGGATGAGAGGATTCACCAGAGACAGTGTGGGGAGCAGAGCAGGCAGGCTGACTAAAATATACTGCTGAGGGGAGCAGTAGAGGAGACAGGAGAGGTCTCCTGCATCATGTGGGTCAGCTCCCTGGCTGGCAGGGGATCTTACTCTTGTTGCAGTGGCTGTGGAGAGTTTCACCGTGCTGTGCTTAACCCCTTGTGCCACCATTGAGGCTCCCAAGGAAAATATTTGTAAGAGGTAAACTAACCTCTTTATTTTGTAGGCAATAACATCTTTACTTGAAGGGATGAATGACAAATTGGCAGACACTTTCCTATAAATAAATGACTGTTCCTTTAAGAAAATCAACTGATAATTGAGAAAGGACAGTAATTTATCTATTTATTTATTTCAAAGATCTGTTTATTTATTTATTTATTTATTTATTTATTTATTTATTTATTTATTTATTTATTTATGCAAGAACCGGGGTACAGTCCAGATGCACGGGAGAGTGAGAGGATTCACCAGAGACAGAGCGGGAAACAGAACAGGCAGATTGACGAAATACACTGCTGAGGGGAGCAGCGGGCAAGACAGGAGAGGTCTGCTGCCTCATGTTGGACACTCTCTGGGCGGCTGGGATCAAACTGGTGCTGCAGAGGCTGCCGACAGCTTCACAGCCCAGCACTCAACTGCCTGCGCCACCAGGGGAGCCCCGAAATTACAGTAATTTTGTCTTGACAAATTATAAGCTCTCAGAAAAAATAATGAAAAATTGTGTCCCATCACTAACTTAACAATGTACACGGTACTACCTTTACTTTTGTGATTTCTGGTAAAAAATAAACATATATGAGTTTTTGGTAATTTGATTCCAGCATAATGAACATTGAAGATCTACATAATTGAGAACAATGCAAAAAATAAATTCATAAATTAACACAAGATCCAATCAATTTGCAAGACAGGCTTATGGAAGAATAACAGAACAGGAACTATCAAGTGATAATATTTCAGATTTCACTTTGTAAATAATCTTCAAGAAACTACCACCTTGATAGTTGTTGTTCTTGTTTTTTTTTTTTTAAGATTTATTTATTTATTTATACAAGCACTGGGTACAGTTAGAAGTGCGGGAGGGTGAGAGAATTCACCAGAGCCAGAGTGGGGAGCAGAGCAGGCCGACTGACGAAGTACACTGCTGAGGGGAACAGCTAGCATGGCAGGAGAGGTCTGTGCACCATGTGGGACCCTCGCCCTGCGGGTGGGCATGGAACCTGTGCTGCAGAGGCTGCTGGCAGCTTGGGGAGGCACAGTATAGTTTTAATTTAGAATCAAAGTGGAATATTCACAATTACCTGAAAATACTAGTCCTACACATGTGTGAGACTGTATATTTTTTTTTCACAGACTTCAACCAAAATCACAGACGAAAAGCAGAAGGAAACACGAAAATCCTACTGTCTTCTAATGAGACAGACAAGAAAGACACTTGCACAATTACAGAATGGAAAAGATCCACTCTTCTCATTGCCCTGATTATGTTCAGAAATAGTTTTCTTAAAAACATTTTCTGTTAACATGCATCGGCTTATTAATATTATTATAAGTGAAATAGTAACATCATTAAAAAATCTATTCCTAGTGTGATAAATATGAATAGCTATAACCTCATAAAATTATACCGGGGTCCTGGCTAATTTGTGAGACTGCGCAGAGACCACGAAAGGAAAATGTTTGCGAATCACTGACCCAGCCCCTAGGCTTGGCCTCAGGGGTCTTGGTGCAGAAACGGAGGAGGCAGCGCAAAGTCCCATGTCCCTGGGTGTGGTTCTCATAGTCTCGGCCCCCAGGTCTGGGTCTGGTGCAGGGCAGATGACTATTGGGGATACCCCACCCCGCTCTTTATCAGTTGTCCTCTCACCCTACGTTACCCTCCACCCCACCCCCCGACCGGGGCCTGGAAACTGCTGACTCAACTCCAGTTCTCACTCCCCATTGCCTGGAGGTTTCCAGAGCAGCCAATCAGCATCACCCTGTTAAAAAGTGCAGCCAATCAGCATCAAAAAAGAGCAGCCAATCAGCATCGCCCCGGCTCCAAGTAAGGAAAGTCCCCACTGACCCGCCAAGATTCAAATGCGCGGCACCTCTAGCGCACAGGTGATGCCCCCATCCCTGCTGCCGCTGTTCGCCCTGGCCCTGGCCCTGGCGGAGAGCTGGGCGGGTGAGTACGGGTGGGAGGGAAACAGTTGCTGCTGGTGGGCGCAGTAAGGGGTCCCCTGGCGGGGGCGGAGCCCCCGGGAAAGGAGGGTCTCCCCCACCGCAGTGCCCTTTGCCCCCTCCGGCCCGTCCTGCCCTGGCCCTTCTGTCCCCCAGCCTCTTGCCTCCGTTAGCCCCCGCGTCTCCGCCCTTCTCGTCCTGCTGCCCTTTTTTTTTTTTTAAATATTAAATTTTATTTTTATATTCCCCATACAATTGCAAACGCCCCATTCTGACCCCAATCCTTCCCCTCCCGCCCCCCACCCCCCAAAAAGTGTCTCTGGTTCATAGTTTTTTGTTGATTTTGATTTTCACTTTCTTATATTCATTTTCCTGGTCCCTTATTTAAGTTTTCTAGATTCCTGCTATGAGTGAGACCATCCGGTATTTTTCTTTTTCTTTTTGGCTTATTTCGCTGAGCATGATCCCTTCCAGCGCCATCCATGTTGCTGCAAATTGCATGTGTTTATCTTTTTTGAATGCTGAGTAATATTCCATGGTGTATATGTACCACATCTTCTTGATCCAATCATCTATTTTTGGGCATTTGGGTTGTTTCCAAAGCTTAGCTATTGTAAGCAGTGCTGCTATAAACATAGGGGTGCAGGTGTTCTTTGGAATTGATGTTTCTGTGTCCTTTGGGTAAATACCTAGGAGTGGAATTGCTGGATCATATGGAAGCTCTATGTTTAGTAGGTCCAGAAATCTCCACACAGCTCTCCATAGTGGTTGGACCAGTTTGCACTCCCACCAGCAGTGCAGGAGAGTTCCTTTTTCTCCACACCCTCGCCAACATTTGTTGTTGCTAGTTTTTTTAATATGTGCCATTCTCACTGGTGTGAGATGGTATCTCATGGTAGTTTTGATTTGCATTTCCCTGATTACAAGTGATGTTGAACATTTTTTCATATGTCTGTTGGCCATTTGCATTTCCTCTTCAGAGAAGTTTCTTTTTAGCTCTTCTGCCCATTTTTTGACTGGATTATTTTCTTTGTTGTTGCTGAGTCTCATCAGCTCTTTGCAGATTTTTGTGATCAGTCCTTTATCATTAGCGTTGGGTGCAAAAATGTTCTCCCAGTTGGTGGGGTTTCTCTTTGTTTTTGTTATTGTCTCTTTTGCTGTGCAGAAGCTCTTTCATTTGATGTAGTCCCAGCTGTTTATCTTTGTCTTTACTATCACTGCTTTGGGTGATGTGTCTGTAAAGATGTCTTTGATGTGCAAATCCCGTAGTGTTTCGCCTATATTTCCTTCTATGTATTTTATGGTTTCAGGTCTTATGTCTAGTTCTTTAATCCATTTTGAGTTGATTTTTGTGTATGGTGTGAGGTAGTCGTCAAGCTTCATTCTTTTGCATGTAGCGACCCAGTTTTCCCAGCACCATTTATTGAACAAACTTTCTTTGCTCCAATGCATAGTCTTTGCTCCTTTGTCAAAGATTAGTTGACCATAAATCTGTGGGTTTATTTCTGGATTTTCTATTCGATTCCATTGGTCTGTATGTCTGTTCTTGTTCCAGTACCATGCAGTTTTGATGATTATGGCTTTGTAGTATAGTTTGAAGTCTGGGAGTGTGATGCCTCCATTTCCTTCTTTTTTTTTCAGAAGAGCTTTGGCTATTCGGGGTTTTTGGTGATTCCATATGAATTTCATCAATAATTGTTCTATTTCTTTGAAGAATGCCATTGAGATTTTGATTGGAATAGCATTGAATCTGTATATTGCTTTTGGTAGGATGGCCATTTTAATAATGTTTATTCTTCCAATCCATGAGCAGGGGATATCTTTCCATTTCTTTGTGTCTTCTTCTATTTCTTTTAACAGTGTTTTATAGTTTTCTTTGTATAGGTCCTTTACCTCTTTTGTTAGATTTATTCCCAAATATTTGATTTTTTTTTGTTTCGATAATAAAAGGGGTGGTTTTTTTGATTTCTTCTTCTTCAGATTTATTGTTTGTGTATAGGAAGGCTACTGACTTTTGCGTGTTGATTTTGTATCCTGCCACTTTACTGAATTGATTGATGAGTTGAATTAGTTTTTCTGTGGAGATTTTGGGGTTCTCTATGTATATTATCATATCATCTGCAAATAGTGATAGTTTGACTTCTTCTTTTCCTATTTGGATTCCTTGGATGTCTTTCTCTTGTCTTATTGCCCTGGCTAGGACTTCCAGTATTATATTGAAAAGCAGTGGTGAGAGTGGACATCCTTGTCTTGTTCCAGATCTTAATGGAATTGCTTTCAGCTTTTCACCATTGAGAATGATACTGGCTGTTGGCTTGTCATAGATCTGCTGCCCCTTTCAACCTAAGGTTTCCCCTGTGCCCTCCTCCCCGCCTCCATCACGTTGGGACTCGGGACGCGCTGGGAGGAGGCTCAGCCCGGGTCTCCCTCCGGCCCCCAGGCTCCCACTCCCTGAGGCTTCTCTCCACCGCGATGTCCCGGCCCGGCCCTGGGGAGCCCCGCTTCATCGCCGTGGGGTACGTGGACGACACGCAGTTCGGGCGGTTCGACAGCGACTCCCCGGGTCGGAGGGCGGAGCTGCGGGCGCCCTGGGCGGGGCGGGTGCGGCAGGAGGACCTGGACGAGGAGACCCTGAACCAAAAGCGCACCGCCCGGAGGCTCGGAGCGCTCCTGGAGGACGTGCGCGGCCGCTGCAACCAGAGCGAGGCTGGTGAGCAATGTGGGCTCAGGGCGAGGCCACCGCCCCCATCCCCACCGACCGGCCGGGGCGCCCCAAGTCTCAGGGTCCGAGGACACCCGAGGCTACTGCTCCCGCCGTGACACTCGGCCTGGGAAGAGCCCGCGGGTCTTTCCTCCCTGAGATTTTAAGTTTACGTTTTTTTCTGGGCTGGAGGTCGGGGTGCCGGTGGCGTGACCAGGGGACTGACCTCAGGGCCGGGGCTCAGGGTCTCACACAATCCAGAGGACTTTGGGCTGCGACGTGGGGCCCGATGGGCGCCTCCTCGGCGGGTATGATCAGGTCGCCTATGATGGCGCTGATTACCTGGCCCTGGACGAGGACCTGCGCTCCTGGACCGCGGTGGACACGGCGGCTCAGGTCACCCGGCGCGAGTGGGAGGCCAGCAGGGAGCCCGAGCGCCTCAGGGACTTCCTGGAGGGCAGGTGTGTGGAGTGGCTCCGCAGATTCCTGGAGATCGGGAAGGAGGTGCTGCAGCAAGCAGGTAAGAGGGACCCAGCGAACCCCATCTCTCCTCAGGCCCTCTCTCTGGTCGGGAGAGGGAGGAATTCCTCTGGGTTTCAGGCTCTGTAGAGAGAGACAGTCCTCCAGAGGACCCCGCTTCTCTGAAGGACAGGGAAGGAATCTAGTCTCTCCTAAGGGAGGGAGACCACCCTGAACCAGCCCTTCCCTGGACCCTTGTGAGACAGCAGCAGTCTTGGGAAGCAGGAGTTTCTCTCTCAAGGGCTTGTTTTTGGTCTGAGAACGGTTTTGGATCAGACTCCTGCCTTTCTGTTCATTCACTTTTCACCCAGGTCAGAAGCAAAAGTCTGTGTTCTCTTTAGAGACCTGCCTCCTCCTACCCTGGGCCCTCCCCCCATTAGCCCAGATTCCCCAGACCAGGCAGGTCTCTGGGTTTGTGCTTCCTCCTTCCACACTGACTGCGCTGTCCATTCTGGGGGTTGTCACATGAGGCTGCTCAGTATCCCTGGAGCAAACCCAAAGAGTGAAATTTTCTGATTCTTCTTCCCTTAGATCCTCCAAACATACACATGACCCACCACCCCATCACTGAGCATGAGGTCACCCTGAGGTGCTGGGCCCTGGGCTTCTACCCTGCGGACATCACCCTGACCTGGCAGCGAGATGGGGAGGACCTGACCCAGAACATGGAGCTGGTGGAGACCAGGCCTGGGGGTGATGGAACCTTCCAGAAGTGGGCGGCTGTGGTGGTACCTTCTGGAGAGGAGCAGAGATACACGTGCCATGTGCAGCATGAGGGACTGCAGGAACCCCGAGTCCTGAGATGGGGTAAGGAGAGGGTCATGGACAAAGCCTCTGCCCAGGGGAATCAGGAGCCCTTCTGGAAACTTTCAGAGCATCAGATGGAGGCCTGGGGCCCAGGGTCTGACCTTCCCTTCCCTTCCAGTGCCCCCTCCTCAGTCCTCCATCCCCACCACGGGCATCATTGCTGGCCTGGTCCTCCTTGGAGCTGTGATCATTGGAGCTGTGGTGGCTGCAACTGTGATGTGGAGGAAGTTCAGGTAGGGAAGGGAATGGGGGGTAACTGGACATTAGGCTTTCATGTCCCAGGGAGAGTTTGCCCTCCCTGGTAAATGTAAATACTATCCACACACTTGTCCCTTAGTCTGGAGCTGACTAAATGCTTATGAAAATGAATTATGCTTATGAAATGCTTATGAAAATGAATCACTAATTATTCATCTTGATGATTCTGGGGACCTTACTCCCAGAAAATATCAGTGGGGAGGAAGTTGGTCCAGACCCCTCTCATCTCCTTTCTTCATATTTCCTGGTCCTGCCCCAGGTCTTCAGTCACAGTCTGGAAACTTTCCTGTGTTCTGGAATGAGGGGATTCCTTTAGACTTCATGGGCTGACTCCTCCCTGGTCTCACATGATGTTTCTTCCCACAGAAGGACAAAGAGGAAGCTACACTCAGGCTGCAGGTAAGTGTGTATCAAGGGCTGGAACTCTGAGCCCATGGGGACAGCATAGATGGAGCCCCTGGGGGAGTCACATCATCAGGTCCTCTGTGGTCTTCTCTCTCCTGCCTCTGACCAGGTTCTGTTTTGTTCTCCCCTAGGCAGCGACAGTGCCCAGGGCTCGAATGTGTCTCTCTCAGCTCCTAAAGGTGAGATGTGGAGGCCTGTGATGGGAGGGGCTGGGGCAGAGAGAACGGGACCAGGTTATGGGGAAGCTGTGAAGGGGACATTCTGAGGATGCGGTGGACTATGGAGAATGTCGACACTTACGTGTTTCTTTGAATTTTTTCATGATCCTTTTCCTTCACAGTCTGAGACAGCTGCCCTGTTGGGCCTGAGTGGTGCAGGATTTCTTCTCAATCCCCATTTTGTGACTGCAAGAGCCTCTGGTTTAAACTACAACGAGAAACCACTTCATAGCTGTGAGAATGGCTCATATCAAAAAGACTAGAAATAGCAATTGCTGGCCAGAACATGGGGAAAAAGTAACAGTTTTTACTGGTTTTGGGGATGTGGACTGATCTAGCCCTTATGGAAAACAGTACCGAGGTTTCTGAAAAGACTAAAAGTGGATCTGCTATAGGACGCAGCAGTCCCGCTCCAAGGTATCTATGAACAAATACGCCACTTTGAAGGGACCCTGCGCTCCCGTGATCACTGCAGCACTATTCACAATAGCCAAGCTGTGGAAACAACATAAACACCCCAAAACAGATGAGTAGATCAGGAGCCTCAATGGTGATGGGCTGTTCTGATGGACGATTTGCTCAGAACATGAAGGTTTGTCAGCGCAGAGAGCGCCAGGAGACACGCAGGAGAGAGACGTGTGGAGAAGCCGCCTTGCTTCTTGGCTTTGGCTTGAACCGGGAACTTAGAGACGTGGAAGGAGATGCCTGGAAGAGACCCATGGAGAGATCGACCTCTCCCTTGCCTTGTACTTTCATTTTGCTCCTTTTGGCCCAGATTTGCTGGCTCCTTCCATCCACTTCCCAGGTCCCCACCTGAAGGCACCTCAGACTCAGAGGACCTTTCAGGCCGCAGTGGCCCTGCCTTGGGCCAAGGCTGTGTGGTTGTGTCTTTACCCACGAGGGGATGGGGAACTTTGGGTGTTTTATTCCCAGTGTTCTTTCTTCTCTTTGCTCTCCATGCCCATTAATTCTTTTCAAGTTGTTCACACTAAGAAAAAAAAATACAGGTTTCTCCTGAAACTAAAAAAAACTAAAAACTTATGCAAAACTGGACCCATAAATATGGCACCTTATAATGAGCAAACAAACACTTGCTTTTCTCTCTCTTTCTCGCCAGGATGTAAAACTTTTACTAAGTATTCTGATCTCTCATTTCAAAATGGTTGTATAACTCCAGCCTATTATCCATTTTGAGTTGGTTTTGTGTGAGGTGGGAGACGGTGGTCTAGTTTCATGCTTTTGCACGTGACTGTCCAGTGTCCCCAGCACCGTTTATCGAAGAGGCTTTCCTTGTGACCCCTCATCTTAACCTTGTCAACATAAACTTCACTGGATTGTTGTTGGAGAACGGGGCTTACTTCTTCCCATCAGTAGTTGTATTTTACATTATAATTTATTTATGTATATTTTACATCATTGTTCACTTTTGTATAGTGCGTGTGTGTATGCTTTCTCCTCTCAGGTGTAGTTCCCATAGAATTCCCACCACCAGTTCGCCCCTGCACCGCCACCACAGTCCCTGGTGCTCTTCCCGCCCTCCCCCTGCAGAATGAGTAGTTGTATTTTAAAATCACAAGTCCTTTTAGATTCTCCACTGTATTGTGGCAACCTTAGGTATTTCCCTGAAACTGTTTCAAAAGCACTTAAAACAATGAAACTATTAGAGGTATATGTCCGTTAAGAGGAAGGTAAATTATTAACTCACCAGAATTAAGACAACTTTTATCTGACTAGACAGAACAGGGAACAGTGTATGTTGACAAAGCAGCATAAACAGGCCCTGAGGAGCTGGAGAGGCAGTGAGGGGGGTGAGTGTCCTTCCTGCAGGGCGTCCAGAGTCCCCCAGGGTTGACCATGAACACTGTCCTGTGTCTGTCCCGCCCCCCCCCTCCCACCTTTTCCCTCTCCATATGGAACAAAAGGCAGCATTTAGGGGGAGATGAGGTTTCTGGGTGTGTCCTCCTGGGGCAGTTTTGAGTCCAAGTTCCCCTTCTTGCTTTCCTTCCCCTCAGGGGTGTGACCAGCCAGACTTCCTGGGGTGCTTGTCTGGTTGTTTCTGATCCTTTTCTGTGGGTCCCCACTGGAAGGTGTTTTAGATTTGTGGCAGACTTTCGGGCCTTGCTCTGGTCAGTCTGCAGGATGATGTGGGGCGGGAGGCCCTGACACAGGATCCAGGCAGCTGGGGTTCAGACCTGGGCACTACCATACACCCCCGCCCCCCTCCCCCCATGTCCTTGTTTCTGAAGGGGGCGGGGGGGGGGGATGTCAGAACAGTTATCAATTCCCAGTTCACAGAGTGTTGGGGAGGAATCTCCGAGATCACACAGAGAAAGTAACTGCTGAGGTCATGTAGTCGGCCTTCCATCAGCTCCCTGAGCCACTTCTGTTCCTGTGCCCACATCTGGCATTCAAGACCCAGCTCCCATGTCCCCTTGCTGCTGAGGAAGGAACCTCCCCGGCTCTGCCCTGGCCCCGCTCTGAGGCAGGCTACTGCAGCCCTTCTCTCCTCACACACCCCAGGCTGCAGGTCCTCCAGGGTGGGGTCATGTAGTTCTCTGTGACCGCAGCACCCTATGGAGCATGTTACTGGGTGACAGCATGTGTTGGGATAGGGGACCCCAAATGCATGACTGCAGGTCTGTGCCATCAGAGTTGCCTGCGGTGTATTTAGAGAAGTTCCCAGGCCTGTTCCCAGAGGCAGAAAGTGGGTTCTTGGCTGCCCAGGGCTGGGAGGGGACGTTGGGGGTGGTATCCATCCGCTCAGGTCAAGAAAGCAAGGGATATTGTAGGTGATGAAAATGTTCTAAAGTTAGATTATGGCATGGTTGCCCTGCTCTGTACTTACCAAAAGGGCATGGGTTGTACATCTTCAACATGAGCTCTGAGGCAGGTCTTTCCACGCTGATCACGGCCGTTCAGATCTGCCAACATCTCGTCCCCATCGCAGCCTCGTGGGACCCAGAGCTGGAGCCTCTGAGTGAGGCCCCTCCTGTCGCCTCCCCCTCAGAGACTGTGCCAGATGCCAGATCCTTGCTGTTTAGAGGCTAAGTATGAAGTGATTTGGTACAAACCAGTAAAAAATTAAGGCAATGAAGTGATCAGTGGCTGTTTTCACACAAGAAACAGTGGAGGCCAGGACAGCTGGAGTGACATAATCAAGGTCTTGATAGAAAAGAGCTGTCAGACAAGAATTCCACATGTCCTGAAAGTATTCTTCAAAATATAAAGGTGATTTAAAAAAAATTATCCCTGCTGTTTTTAGATTCCATTTAATTTTGCTGTTTTGTTTTCTTTACACTATCCCAGAGCGGTGTCTGCAGGGTCACGGCACAGAGTCTGTCCAGCTGCCTGGAGCTGTGAGTGGGGCTGACTCTGACCTGCCTGCTGGGAGTGGGGCTCTGGAGCCCCAGAATCAGCCCCCAGGGCTGGTCCTCTAGGGTGGCACAGTCCCTGCTCTGTCCTCCTCTTGGGGTCCATGAATCTCCCTGTCACCCCAGTGTTCATTAGAGAGATTGGCCTGTAGTTTTCCTTTTTTGTGTTGTCCTTGTTTGGTTTTGGTATTAGTGTAATGTTGGCTTCATAGAACGTGACAAACACACTTTTTTTTTTTATAAATAATAAATTTTATTTTTATATTCCCCATACAATTGCAATCCCCCATTTTGACCCTATCCCTCCCCTCCACCCCCCACCCCCCAAAAAGTGTCTCTGGTTCATAGTTTTTTGTTGATTTTGATTTTCACTTTCTTATAGTTATTCATTTTCCTGGTCCCTTATTTAAGTTTTCTAGATTCCTGCTATGAGTGAGACCATCCGGTATTTTTCTTTTTCTTTTTGGCTTATTTCGCTGAGCATGATCCCTTCCAGCGCCATCCATGTTGCTGCAAATTGCATGTGTTTATCTTTTTTGAATGCTGAGTAATATTCCATGGTGTATATGTACCACATCTTCTTGATCCAGTCATCTATTTTTGGGCATTTGGGCTGTTTCCAAAGCTTAGCTATTGTGAACAGTGCTGCTATAAACATAGGGGTGCAGGTGTTCTTTGGAATTGATGTTTCTGTGTCCTTTGGGTAAATACCTAGGAGTGGAATTGCTGGATCATATGGAAGCTCTATGTTTACTAGGTCAAGAAATCTCCACACAGCTCTCCATAGTGGTTGGACCAGTTTGCACTCCCACCAGCAGTGCAGGAGAGTTCCTTTTTCTCCACACCCTCGCCAACATTTGTTGTTGCTAGTTTGTTTAATATGTGCCATTCTCACTGGTGTAAGATGGTATCTCATGGTAGTTTTGATTTGCATTTCCCTGATTACAAGTGATGTTGAACATTTTTTCATATGCCTGTTGGCCATTCGCATTTCCTCTTCAGAGAAGTTTCTTTTTAGCTCTTCTGCCCATTTTTTGACTGGATTATTTTCTTTGTTGTTGTTGAGTCTCATCAGCTCTTTGCAGATTTTTGTGATCAATCCTTTATCATTAGTGTTGTGTGCAAAAATGTTCTCCCAGACAAACACACTTTTAAATGTCTTCATTTAACTGTCTATTTTCTCTCCCTCTTCTAGAATATAAGCCTTATGGGAACAAGGAGAGAGATTTTGCTCACAAGTGTATTTCCATTGCTCTGAGAATGCTGGTTGTTGATTTTAAAATATTTGTTGAGAGAGTGAGTGAGTGCACAGACAGAATGACTTATACACACACACACACACACACACACACCATTGAATGCTGCTTTTGTGTCAACATTACGCTGTGAACTTTTCATGAGACATTGGAAATCCTGTTTTTAAATGTTTTCCACGTTGGGAATATTTTCAAATATTCAAAAGAACAGTGTAATGATTACCTTAGATTCAACAGTGTAAAGTGTAACAGTGTGAAGAACAGTGTAGTGATTACCTCAGATTCAAAAGTTTTTAACTTTTTGTAATTTTAACATTTTATAATTTTTTCTCTCCTGTGTATAGTACCTTATGTTTGCATGATTTTTGCTAATCACAGGAATGTGATTTTAAGGGTCATTACCCTCATCCCTAAATACTGCAGTATTTGCCTCTTAAAAATTACAATTCCCGGGCCTCCCCGGTGGCGCAGCGGTTGAGCGCTGGGTTGCGAAGCTGCCCGTGGTCCCTGCAGTGCCAGTTCGATCCCCGGCTGCTCCCCGGCCACCGGAGGAGGGTCCCACATGGCGCCCAGACCTCTCCTGCCGCCCGCTGCTCCCCTCAGCAGTGTGCTTCGGTCCTTCTGCCTGCTCTGCTTCCTGCTCTGGCTCTGGTGAATTCTCTCACCCTCCCGCTCTTCTGACTGTACCCAGTGCATGTATAACCAAACAAACAAATAAACAAATAAATAAAAAAGCATGCCTCTATAAAAAAAAAAAAATTACAATTCCCTGGGGCCTCCCCTGGGGGCGCAGTGGTTGAGCACTGGGCTGCGAAGCTGCCCGCAGTCTCTGCAGCGCAGGTTCATTCCCGGGCCATGGGGCCAGGGTCCCACATGGTGCGCAGACCTCTCCTGCCGTGCCCGCTGCTCCCCTTAGCAGTGTATTTCGTCGGTCTGCCTGTTCTGTTCCCTGCTCTGGCTATGGTGAATCCTCTCACTCTTCCACGCTTCTGACTGTACCCAGTGCTTGTATAAATAAATAAATAAATCTTAAAAAAAAAAGATATTAACATTAAAAAAAAATTACAATTCCCTGCAAATCATATTGCTATTGGAGAGGGAAAATAACTACAATTGTCAATTTTTTTTTAAGTTATAAGGTCATAAAATGAACTAATTATTCTCCCAAAGTCAGATTTCATATCTGGTTTTGGGGAAAAATTCACTTCTTATTTGTAAATACCATTTTAATGTCTCCCTACATTCCATAGGGTGGATATGCATATTGTGGAGAACAGCCTTCTTGGAATTCTGGCACCCTCAGCAAAGGGCAAACAGGGCCTCAATTTCAGGGGTAACACCTGGTTCCCTAGACGTTTCTCTGCCAAAGCATATGAAGGCAGACCTGAGACCTGGTGTGAGTGTCCTCCCTCCACACAAGGGTCAGAGTGACTTTGTTTAACACTCTTCTTCCCAGGGTTTGCATCTCATAATCAGGAGCCAAGAAAGGGTCCAAGAACTGGAACTGAAACCCAACCATTCCAAATCTCCTCATTTCCAATGGCAGAGCCCCAAATCCCTGTCCTCTCACCTTTGTCTTTCAGACTCACCTCCTTCATCAGCCCGAATCCACCAGGGCTAATCTCACTACATCCTGTCCCTTGTTTTCCTATCAGTCACCACTGACTACAAATCCCCTGCAATCTCTTCTCCACAGCCTTATTCTGTCTCCTCTCACACCCCTCTCCAGCTCCTGAAGCCTCTGCACGGTGACCCCTGGAGATCCCAGTCCACGATCAGCAAAATC